GACCCTTCTTCTTCTTCTTCTCTTCTTCTTCTTCTCTTCTTCTTCTTCTTCTTCTTCTCTTCTTCTGGTTCGAACTACTATAGCACCAGTCGAAACAAGGGTGATCACTCCTTTTCAGCCTTGTCCCTTATCTCTAGCTGATGGCGAAGAAAATAAGAGAAAACCCTAGACTAGGTGCGCAGATAACAGAATTCTGGGCAGATCCGATTTGCTCAATTTAGCACTGATACCATGTTAGTGTTCAGTCTACCTGTTAGACTGATAACAATCAAGGAAGAGAGAGAGAAGAGAGGAGAGAAAGAGAGAAAGGAGAGCAGAAAAGAAACAAGGAGAAAAGATTATGGTTCGAAAGAGAGAAAAAGTTCACTCTCCCATTCGGCCAGATGTATTTTATATTACTAAAATAATGTGGAAAAGTCACATATGCCCCTACTTAAGTTAGGGACATTAAATCTAACACAAACTTACACATCAGCACCTAAACACAAGCACAAAGACAGAATTACCCCTACATACTCGACACTAACAACCTGCAACTCACTCTTTTTCGTTTCTCTGCTACGCCTTCAGTCTGAACCAGAATAACAGTTTGTTCATGTAAATACAAGTCATGTGGCTCACTGTGAAGATCATCAAGCTAAATTTTTTGTGCTGAGTCCAGTTGATTTGGTGCTCTTCCCAAATGGCTTATAGAGATGTTATTCTCCTATTAATTTAGAAGAGTATAAGTATCAGCCACCTGCTAGGTACAGTTATGTTTTTTTACTCCACTGAACAGGTTTCTTATCTTCTCTTTCTACACCTGCAATTCTCTCTTTTTCTATTCTCTTCTACATCTCATGTCTGAACCAGAATAACAGTATGTTCATGTAAATACAAGTCATGAGGCTCATTGTGAAGATCAACAAGCCAAATTTTTTGTGCTGAGTCCAGTTGATTTGGTGCTCTTCCCAAAATGGATTATAGAATATTTGCTTCTGGAGTGTCAATAGTTTTCAAGTAATAATAAGGAGTTTGGATATCTTATCTGCAGAATTTTTTTGTTTTTTATTTAAATGAATTTTTTTAGTTTCTAATTTCATAAGATGTGTCAGTAAAGTGATATAGATTAAAAGAAGATAAAAAAAATAGGGTAAATTTCCTAACAAGTGTACTTGCGAAACTAAAATTTTTCTCAAACTTCATAATATGTTTAAAAATAATACAAATAAAAGGAAAAGAATGGGCTATTACCCAATGTTGACCCTGGCTACCTGGGGTTTTGGGAGGGTGGACTGGATCTGGACCTAATTGTTGGCATTTTCTTGCAGAAAGAACTATAGCACATTCAGAATGTAAAAGAAACCTCCATAGTAACTCCATATATGGGAGGGTGGACTGGATCTGGACCTATTCAGACCAACCCTCAGTTCATTTAAGGAGATCAGCAGATAAAAGGAATAAAACTCAATATACAAAAGCCTCACTCTTTGGGAACCAGACAAATTATTAAAAAAGAAAAATTAAACTAAACAACAATGTAAAATAACCTTCTATTAGTATCCCACTAAAAGAATCATGATCACAGCCATGTGAAGACTAATATCCTATAAATAAGGCCCAGGAATGTCCCACCTTCAAAAACCACAAAACTTTGAAAAACAATCAAGCAAAACCAAGCCCTTACTTTGCATGTGTATTCTCCAAGCATATAAGCCTAGTAGTTGGGTAATAAAGCTCCTCTTCAGGATCTCTTATAGAAGCTTCAATCAAAGAAATATCCATTGTTCCATCTGAATTATTTTTCACAGTCTTTGAATGAACATTCCCAATTGTAGAAATGCCTCCATTCTCATAAACATGGATATGGGAATTGTCTCCAAGAATGACTTCACTTCCTCTAATCTCACAGTGGACAAGTACACTTATGAGGTTACCCATAGTGCCTGAAGGAACAAACAGTGCTGCCTCTTTACCCATGACCTTGGCCATCTCTGCTTCAAAGCGATAGGCTGTTGGATCCACACCCAAGACATCATCATCAACATCAGCATTTGCCATGGCAGCTCGCATTGCTTCAGTTGGTTTGGTGACTGTGTCAGATCGAAGGTCCACTGTTCTGGTTACCATTTTTGCTGAAAACCAAAAACAGACATTAGTAACAATAATTTTTAATCCGAAGCTCTTGATGTTACTTTATTAAGATTACTGTATCCAGTGATGTTGATACTAAAATAAGAAAATCCAATAAAACAGAAACACTGTATCCTCTCAAATTTATAAATTAGCAGTCCTTATCTTGACAATATATTGTCAAACCAAAATTCAAGAATGGAAAACTCCAACAAGTCCATTTGAAATTCTGGGTTTGATCCGGAGATGATTCCAAATGACCCTTACCCTCCTATCATGTAGGACTTGAACCCCACCTAGAACATCAATCATCCAAAGCTAAGGAGAGTTTTGATAATGCAATTTTGGTCAAAACAAAAGCCTGAAGGAGTTCAATAGAAATCCTTTTGAATGCTTTAAAATAAAATTAAGAAAAAAAGACCGCAATAGTAACAATAAAATGATCTTGATTACAGCATACATTATTCAATTCCTTTGAAGAATTTGCTCTTCGTACCTTTGTCTTCTGTACTCCGAAATTCTACCCACAATTCTGCTCTGCAATACCGAAAATCCAAACGGCTCAACTTAAATTACTGTAAAACAGTGGTTACTCTGTTCCTAGAAACCGAGAAAACCTTCAGCAAGATCTTCTCAACCCCTCTTCTTACACTCTTTTCACTTCTTTAAACCGCGACTTTTTTTTCCGAAAAGAGCCAGTTTACTAAAGGTACACGAGATTCTTTGGACCCTACAAATTCTGCAATACTCGACTGCATTCATCTGACATGCTCAAGTAGAACAACCTGCAGTCGCTGCGTCCCGATAACTACAAACAGGTGAGGTGGCAATGAGTCGACAAGTATGAGCGTCCCGATAACTCACCTTCAGACAACAGGCGCCTTTTCTTTCTTTTTAACCTTTTATAAAATAAATTCCAATTGTAGATGTAGATTCCCTCCCTTCCAATTCCTCGAAAGCAGACAAAAAGACAAGATAGCAACGAGAGACTCACCTGCTTTTAGCTTTCTGCATGAACAATTCGTATGGATTGCCTTGAAAAAGCTTTTTCTGCAGCTTCAACTCTTCAATGGCGAACTGGTTTGGGTTTCTTTTAATGGAGGAAGAAAATGTACTTTTTGCTTCTCCGCCTAACTGGGAAGCACTTACGTGCAAATGTGTTATGTGACGATTACGGAGGAGTGCTCCAGCGATTCATACTGATAAGTAATAACATCCGCATCATTGATTTGTCTTGCCGTTTGTTTGGGGTGCAAAATACAGAATCAAAGCAAAATTTTTGTCCTGGTTCACAGGTTCAGTTTTGTCGTCGCTTGGTACATATGCAAATTTGCACCGAAATCTGGGTAAATTTGCAATTTAAAGAGCAAAAGACCATGTGATAACCGACAAACAACCAATGCAGTTACCCAATGCTTTGTTTTTGTTTCGTTCCTGTTTTACGTTTAGTCAGTTTTTGTCATTGCTTGGTTGTAGGGGTGTAAACGGATCGAATTCGAATTGGATCAATTAATATTCGAATTCGAATCTGATTAAAAAATTTGATATTCGATAGATATTAAAAATTAATATTTGAATTCGAATTCGATTAAATATTTGAATATTCGATTCGAATTTGAATTTGATTAATTGATTATTTTAGATAATTAATAAATATATAAAATAAGTATTTTTTAAAGTATATAAATATAAATTATTTATATAATTTAATTATTATATATATAAATTATATAATATATTTAAATATTTTATATATTATATATAAAAATTAAATAATCGGTTGAATTCGGATATTTATCGAATCGAATCAGGTCATATCAGAATTCGAATCCAATTAACTATTCGGTATGAATAGGATATCCAAATTTGATTCAATTATATCGAATCTCAAATTTGAAATCGAATTTTCAAATACCATTGACACCCCTACTTGGTTGTAATTTAAGCAATCTTCAGTGAAGTTGTTGCCTATACTTGACTATATAATGAACAATAATACACTTAACATGAGGGACTGTGGGAAACATTAAATGGAATGAACTGCCCCCAATGGAGCACATCAAGTACTTAACAAGTTTTTTTTTTTTTTTTTTTGTTAACAGCAAACCCACCCAAGTGAGCTAGCTAAAATTAAAGGGAGGTTTGGGATTTCGAATGATGGATCTTATATTCTTATTCATATGGGCTTTCTAAGTGTCCGTTTGGTTTTCAGGAATAGGTGCCTAGAATCAGAATGGCCCATTCCGATTTCAACTGTTTGTTTGACAAGAATAAAAATTCGATTTTCATTATTAATAATGGCCATTCCACCCCCCCCCCCCCAAACACTAATATTAATAAAATAATAAAATATTAGTAAATTGATAATAATAATAATAATAATAATAATAATAAACTAATAAACTATTAACAAAAATATTGTAAAATAGTAATAAAATAATAGTATTATAATAAAATATTAATACATAATTCATGAAATAATAATAAAGCATTAATCATTAAACAATAAAATATTATGAAAGTAATAATATGATAATAAAAAATACTAAAATAAAAATATTTTAAGAGGAAAATATTAAAAAAAATACTAAAATAATATGATAATAAAAAAATACTAAAATAAAATATTATGAAAGTTTGGACTTGGAAGTAAATTATTTTGAATATTCCTTTTGGAAAATAATGTTTTGGGGGTCTAGATTATAAGAGGAAAATATTAAAAAAAAAAAAACATTGATTTCCAAGGAAAATTCCCTCAATTGCTTCTTTGCTTTGGAAAACTATTGGAATAGAATTATAGGATCTCTTTTTTCAATTGACATTCAAATATCTCCAAATTCGGATGTGAATATCTAGGGTGTGGTTTGGATAAGAATCACATCACTAATGGAACCAAGAGATCTTGAATAATGCCTTTGGGGAAGATGTCCAATGTATATTATCTACACATATCTTCAGTGAGAGGTTGGGTAGAATCATTTGGCCAATAATTCTAAAGGTACGTTCTATTGGGTTTCCCTCCTTATATGGAGGTGGGACCCACTCATGCGTTGGGTTTCCTTGACCAACACGTGAGAAAGAAAAATAGAAAGACAAATATAGTTGTGAGATTCTTGGTATTCCCTCATTAGTGAGAAAGAAACAAATTGTGTGGTCTCGTTTCATGTTAGTGGATGGTGGGATCCACTCTCCACTATTATTTGTCTTTCTATACAAGCCTCATTTTTTTATCTTAGTGTAGAGAGTCTCTTAAAAGGTTAGACACTTACGATGGTATCCTCGTTTATGAGAAAAGAGGAGAGAGGACTTGGGCTACCTTGTTTAGTGAGATCTTTTTCATGCTTCTTGATTGAAATACTTCTTGTTTGATGACTGTTTTTGTGTATCCAAGAGAGGTTCTTGTCTTTTGAAGTAGTTATCCTCTAGTTGGAACTAGATAAGTTGTAACCCCATTATTTTGTTTATAGTGGAAGATTTTTGGGTATAATGCCCTATGGTTTTTCCTCCTCACATTGGAGAGGTTTTCCACATTAAAAATTGTTGTGTGTGCTTATTTTTTATTTTTGTGATGTTTCTTGGTTATATGTTGCTTATTGTTATTATTATCCTAACTCCCATTGAGATTTGAATCAGCTTGGAATAAGACATTTCGCACTTGATTGTGTAGTGCAAAACAGAGTACTATGAATCAAGAATACTTCCTTTTACCACTATAGGAATATATGATCTGAAGACAAAAACTAGGTATTCGTAGGTGACACTCAAAACTGGTTTCAATTTGCTTCCAAGTGTTTTGTTTAACATTTGTTGTGTTTTCAGGACCAAACGCAAGACTTTTAGGGGGCATTCTTTTTCTGGATTTTGAGAGGGGGAAAGTAGGTCAATAAGATTTTGGTTCCCATTGACCAAGAATCCCATGTTCATTTTTGAGATTTTTGTGGGGAATAGGGAAAGTTTATTTTCTTGGGTGCTAAAACTTGAATGGGACAAAAATGTCCCTTTTAATAATGGACTTTTATAACTAAAATGGTCATTACCTTATTTACCTGGGAAATAAAAGAAAATGGGTAAATGCACTTACCCGGGTAAGTGTTTCACAGGAAAAACTTACTAAGGTAATTGAATTTACCCAGGTAAATAACTTACGGAAAAGTGAATGGGACCTTATAATTGACTTTGGGAGTAGGGGAATGAGCACTTGAGCCCCATGATAAGATAACTATTTTGAAGAAAATTTGGAAATTAAGAATATCCCCTTAGATTTAAAACTTTCTTCTAGAAACTTGTTAGGGGTTTTATTGTCGCCCATAGCAATTTGTGTGATTGGAGTATTTTATGTAGAGTTGTACTTTATGTAGAGGATATATGTATTTTATGCAGAGCTGAAAAAAAAAATTTGTTCCACTTGTTCTTTGCCCGTGTGTGCATGCTTTATTTGTTGGTTAGTCCTTTGGGCATTTACTCAAAATCTCTCTCAATGTTTTTATTTTCTTCTAAATTTGAACCTTAGTTCCGTAGAATCTAATAATTTGCTTTCTTGGTTGGTTGTGTTTTGGTATTGTGTGTGACAATCCATGAATGAAAAATTGTTGTATAAATAATAAAGATGACAGAATGAAACTTATCGGTAATTGCTTTTCAAACCGAAGTTGCAGACCACGAAACAGTTTTCTTTTCAAGTTAGTTTACTTTTTTATTCTATTTCTATTTTTGTTTAATATGACGAATACATAATAATAGAAATGCTCCCAAATGTTCATTTTTACAAAATATATATATTTTAAAAATTTCATGTCTCTATCTTTTTTAAAATTCTTAATATTTAATTATATCATGAGTTGATCCATTTGACCTAAAAGATTGAACCATTGGCCCTCATTAAAATAGGAAAATGGTTTTATTTCTAGGTCAGTTTAAATCTTTTATTTTATTTCAATCATTAATAAAAGTACTTCTTATTTATCACATTTATTGTTGTTTAATATGATAAATATATAATATTAGAGATGTGTCTAAAATTTTTCACAAAATTTTATAATTTTATATTTACTTTTTAAATCTACATAATTAGCAATTCAATAGGTATTAATGGAAATACATAAATAGAACATCTAACACAAGCAAAGATAGTTTGGTTTGAAGTCCACCAAGTCAACACAATTAAGCATAAGGGTTACAAATCACATTTGAACAACAAATGTTGATGAGAAACACATAAAACATGTTGGAAGGGTTACAAATCAGATTAAACCTGGCCTAACCACACTTATTGGCTAACCAAATTTTTAAAATTTTCTAACCCCACCTAGGAACTAATTTTCTTGTAATTTTGAAATTTGAAATTTTGGGATCAAACTTGCACTGAACCAGACCAGATTTGAAAACCCAATTAAAACTAATTATACCTGATACGGAAACTACAATGTGCAGCTCCCAGAGTATTAGTTCACTCGCAATATCAGTCCCAAAATTGCCCTCCAACTAAAGATGGCATAGTTTGTATGTAAAGCCGATTCAACAACACCATTTTAGCAAAATCGGTCCCCAACTTGCTTGGATCAAAGTGGGAGTATGAACTTGAGATCCTCTAATGTTTTTCTTGCAAAAAAAAAAACATAGTATAGAACTGATGGAAATCATCCCATATCATAGTTGGGCTGAATTAGGGTTTCTAGGAGGCAAGGGAGAAGAGAAGAGAGGAAGAGAATGGAGAGAATTGGTAAATTCGCCCCTCTCCTCTTAGTCCCTTATATAGAACACTCTCTTAATCTAACTAAGAGACGATCCATATCAAATTTGGATCAAACTTTATCTTTAATTGATAATCATTATCTTCGCAAGAGAATATGTACTCCATACCTAGATCCATATCCATTTTCAATCAAAATTAGATGACAATTTAATAAAATGTGATATCTTAATTAATCATATTAGTAATGGGCCTCAGGCCCATTTTCTTTACTAGTTCACGTCCCAAGGTGTTGCATGGACACTTTGGACTTGAATATTGTATGGCGTGGAACCCACAAAGGTTCCACACAAGTCCATAAGGGTCGGCCCCACCTCTGGAAGAGGTTAGGCCGAATTCACTGCTCAAGAGCAGTGAACCCTAAACCCAATCGGCTTAACTCAATTTGGGCCCAACATTTACACATAGACGATCATTGGATTCAACCACCCTATGAAGACTCAAGGATAATGG